GACTCCCCACGACCATATTGATCTCCCTTTTCGAAAAAGTAACCAAGCTTTTGTTTAGTTTATGTCAAGACGTGGTTGCAAGACGTGGTTGCAGAAAAAATGATTGAGAAACGGCGAGACGAGCCGAGTGTAAAACCAAAATTGCTTTGATTCGAGTAAATCTGGGGATACCATATTAGCCTAGAGTGGAGCAAAGCCCTTGAAAGCCAGTTCATCGCCTTAATACGAGAGATTTGGTGAATCATTCGGGAGAACTCTCCGGCGAATAATCCGGAGGAGCTGGCATGTATGCAATCGCTCGAGACTCGTTCTCTTTCTGCCTTCTCTTTCGCTCTTTGTTCAGCGCTCGGAATTGAAGACAGCCCCCTAGCTAGCCAACTTTGTAGGGTACAGGCTAAATAGTTGGAAAACTTCACTTCACGTTCAAAGCTTTTGTTCAAAATATGTCATCGGTTCATTCTTCATCAGCAAGTCATCCCGTGACTAAGAAATCTCTTTGTCACGCAACGCAAAATGCTAATTCAGCCCGCAAAAAGTAAATTTGAGCTGTGAATATTTAAGAAATCGAAGATGCAGGCCTCTTGTAATAAACTTCATAACGAATCTGAAGTGGGTCTTAGTTTTCATTCATTTCGTTGGCAAAGAAACGTGAGAGAATTGGGTAATAACAAAAAATATAAACGACCCGAGAACGTTAACCACCCGGTGTTCCCGGCTGGGTGTTACAGGCAGGCTGGAACAAACAATTTAGCACCGAGGCTTCTTCTGATTTTTGTAACACCTTTGAATCAATAGTATACTTAGTGAATATTAAAATAAAACATGATTTTCAAATCTCTCGGAGTCACCTCTGAAAAAGAGAAGACAAGCCTGCTGGTAGACAAACTATAACGATCGCAGAAGACATTCATGATCTATTTTCGTTAAGTGCCGTATTTTCCACATGTGAACGAACGATGAAATTATTATCTCCCTGTAAATCAAACACTTAAAAACGGAAAATAATTAACCTTGGGCTGAGCTACATCGACGAACATAACTTCAGCAGATCTACAAACCTGATTACTGAGTAACGAGGAGTAGAGATGGAGAGATCGCGAAATGGCCCCAGAGTCAAGTTGCGTTACCTGTTCTGAAAATGAATAATGTTGCGTTAGCTGTTCTGAAAATGAATAATTATGTACGCCTCCTTGTTTGGCGGATCCAGTGGGAGTCTTCAGGGTCAAAATCCACTCCTCCAGCGCACCTCTGCCTTTTTTTCTTTCTTTCAACCCTTTTGTTTGAAACGAAAATTTTCCCAACGACAGGATGTCTAATTACTTCTCAACATGAAGTATTCAAAATTTACTCTCTAATGTCAAAAAAAAAAAATCTGGGTATTTTGAATCATGCCGAATCATCCCTTGGCCCTTCCTGCTAAATGACTGGGTCCGCGCCCCCTGAGTTGGCCGACGATTCTACTACTTTTCTCGGTCGAAATTAAGGAATGGGCAAATGAAATGAGCCATACACACAGAATGGTTTCAGTAGTTTGCATGCTCAAAGAGTCAGCCATACACTGTCCTAAGAGATGAGGGGGGGTGGGGTTGGGAGATCGTGGGCAAAGAGACGTCTGACAGTTAGGCTAGTTGGTATCTCAATTCCGAGGAATGGCGGGTATTTCTCGAGTGCGCTGCCCAGTCAATAAAAATCCTGACCCAAAATGAGACCAAAACATGTCCTTTACAGGCTTTACTTCAAACCCAAATCCAGACCTGGTTTCTGACAGTTGTACTTAGCGCGTGAATCCGAACGCAACAACACTGACATCACAAATTGGTAAAATTCACCTGAAAATTCAGGTTTTAAGGTAAGTTTTGGCTACTTCTATTCCTAAATTTGGAGACGAAAGATGAAAACAAAGACACATTTATACCAGTCTGGTGGGCCCTTCAAGTTGAATACCATACTTCCTAATTAGTGAATCTCAAGAGCATTATTTAGCATTATCACACTCCCCCACGGTATATATTAATTTCTGGACGATGCGATAGAATACTTTTTGCTCTGCAGAAATATGTAGTTACAGAAGCTCCAAAAACATTTTAAAATCGCTTGTGAAGGGCCCGTAAGGATGATTTGAGGGTGCTCTTAATGATAAAGGTTATCTAGTGGTTTTTGAAATAGAGCACTTCAAACAAGGTTAAATGTGTTTAATCATCTCTGACCCTCCATTGCTGTTTAGTAAATGACTCATTTTGTCACGGTCAGCATTCCTATTTTCCACTGCACTGAAGACAGTGGGAATTTCAATTAAATAGATAAAAACCTAGATAAATTCAAAAATGGATTTAGTTCTGTATTCCGTAGATTTTCCTACAAATACTTATCATTTCAAATTTCTATTTTTTTTTCCACAACGGGATCAAGTTTATGATTAATTATGCAATAAATATATGCTATATATTTATGAGAATAATATAATTGGTTGTGAGTACTATCTCGCTGCGTATAAATTCAAGAAATAAAGACCCTAGCAACAAAACCACAAAAAATACATTTCTAGCCGCTAAGTTACATTTGCCATTAGTTTTTAATGATATTGTGTTCTGGTCCGTACGGGAACTTAGTAATATTTTCGCTCGCTGTCTCCTTGACAACAAGTATATCGTGTTCTCTATATCCACCTGCACCAGGCTCCCTCTCGGGAATTGTAATCATTGGTTCCATGGATATTACCATATTTGGCTGTAACATCGTCTCGATATCTTCGCGGATTTCCAGCCCAGCTTCGCGTCCGTAATAATGAGAAAGAACACCAAAGGAATGACCGTATCCAAACGTACGATATTTCAGCAAATCGTGTTCAAGGTAGAGCTCGTTAAGTTCATTGGCGATGTCGCTGCAACGCGCACCTGGCTTTATGAGCTCCAGGCCCCGACGGTGAACTTTGCAGTTGACTTCCCAGAGTTCCATATGCCGGTCTGTTGGCACGTGATCACAAAAAAGCGTACGCTCGAGTGCTGTATAGTATCTAGGTGAGACATAAAGATACAGAAGTGAGAATCAACTTGCAAAGGGGCAAACTGGGAAGAAAACCAGTAGTTGTTTAATAACCATCCATGTTCCCGCTTTCCATGCCTGTTCAGGTATTGCGAGAAATTGTAATGGCTGCGGGTTGCCATATAATATTTAGTCCAGCAGATCAGAATAGATCACCGCGTCAACCAATGGACCACGGCGTCTTCCGATGTAAAGGAAGTCTTTTGAACCAAAGCTTTATGGTTCATACACAGGTAATTACTCCACTTGGCTCCCTGACGCAAGTTTCCCAAATAGCAGACACTTTACGTTGCGTAGATTGCGTAAAAAATTTTAAAGAATAATTATAACTTACCCAGCTATCATAGGAAAGCAGTTCAAACTGAGGATATCTCCTTTTCGTAATCGGCGGGTGGTAACTGGGTTATGAGCACCATCGGTATTAATTCCTGATTGGAACCAAGTCCATGCTGAGAAATTACAACAGCGAAGATAAAATTAATCAAAAGAAGTTTGTTGTGATTTGGGGAGAGCGCTTCATGACATCCTAATGAAAGGCTGCGAAAAAGACTACGAGTTGTAATCGACAGGGTTTCCAACTTTTAGTTCTATGAAATACAAGCGAATATTGGTTGGGAACTTAACCGCTTGTTTTTTTTTTGTTTTTTTTTTCAGGATCGGCAACTGGAACGGAAGGGTCCAGGAATTGAACCTAGGCCACCACTGTGGAGGGGTGGGGAAGGGGTAGGAGGAGGGGCTATTGCGCCATTTCGCCATGTCAGCGTTCCAAATTTTTCTTAGTATTGAAGGCTCCCAAGAAACCAACAGGAGTTGAAGACAGGAATTTAAAAAGAAAAAAAAAATCAAAACTTACTATCTCGTATTTCAGAATGCGGATATGTGTCTGCAATCTCTCTGACCATCGCGTTTGTTGAAGCCAAAGCAATCTCGTGCTCAGAGGCACCCTCTTTGATTGCCTTGACAACTGCCTCTCCTCCAAGATCAGCAATACGTGCACCTTGCTTTATAAGTTCAATTTCTTCGGGAGATTTAATCATTCGCATTTTCATGGTCGATTGACTGACATCTACGAATTTTGCATTCGGTAAGGCATCGGTGAACTTTCGGTAACTGTCGAGATGGACCCAGTCATACTCCAGCCCTACTGTTTTGGCGTCGCCAACCTTGAAGAAATAACTGACGTCTTAGTGGTTGCTACAACGGGGAAATATTCTATGACAATTTTTTACGACCAAATCAACACTCAAACAAACCAGTTGTTGCACAGCGTGATAATAATTGTCTCTTTTCCAGTCCGTATAGACGATGTTCTCACCGAATGTTCGGCGCCACGGCTGACCATAGTCGATGCCTGAAAAATGGAAAAAAAATTGCTATGCACATCTCGCACACATTTCCATTGCCTCAGTTTTCGTGAAGACCACACAAGCGCTAATAATTAACACCTCCATAATATATTTTTCACACTCCCACAGAGCTACAAAATACTGCAGGGAATATAAAAAACAAAACATTAGGGACGAGTGACAATCTATAGCTCGTGGAAGGGGGAAAGGGTGGGGGGATTGAGTCACAATAAAATTTGCCTGATTCTCCCCCCAATGCTCTGTTTCATTCATATGATTCCCCTTCAAAATTCTCCGACCCCTCCCCCCCACCTCCTTCCCCCCGGTAATATATAATGACTGGTTCCCACAAAAAAAAAATCAAAAAGGGAGAAAAGAGAAGATTATACTGCAAAGTTTACCAGCAGAAACACTCGTCGTCTTCGACGGGGTGACAATGAGCGCATAAGGTCGACCAAAATAGCAATAAAGGAAATCACTGTAATAATGGATGTTGTGATAAGATGTAAATACGCATGCGTCAATTCCGTTTGTCTCCATATGGCGTCGAATCGTGTCCAGACGGAGTTGCATTTCTTGGGACGAGAAGGTAGGTTTCACCTACAATCGAGAAAGCGAGTCAATGGGTAACTGTTGGCTTGGGTATGAGCCCTTGTCTTAATCAGTACACCTTTAGCTTGTTGGGCCCTGTTTACAAGCAAGGAGGGTAACCCTTGTGCTAGGGTTACCCTAGCAGGCGGGTCAAAGATAGCCCGGGTTTACAAGCAAAATTTCACAGGTAGGGTTACCCTACAACCCGGGACAACTTACCTATGCTTGGTAACCGCACGCATTGTTATCAATGTTCAAAGGGTCTGGAAACAAGTGAAAAGTTGTCCCGGGTAGGCGAGTTATCCCCAGCAGTGTGTTTACAAGGCAGCTAGGGTTACCCTGGCGCTAGGGTAACCCTTGCGCTCAGCTAGGGTTACCATAGTGCTAAGGTAACCCTAGCTGCCTTGTAAACACGTCGATGAAAAAAAGAAGAAATGTGGGAGCGTTAGGGTAACCCTCCTGCCAGGGTAACCCTAGCACTAGGGTTACCCTACCTGCTTGTAAACAGGGCCTTAGTTTGTTTTTCCCGGTGAAAAAGGTTGGTCTTTACATAAAAAATTGCGAAAATATTAATTTCCGTGAAGGAATTATTTCCCACATCATTGCACACATGCATCAGAAGAAACTTTTTAGCAGTCGGCAAGCTGAGAAACAAAGTAGACTTTTTTAGACGTGTTTAGCCGTAGTTGGTTCTGTGATTACATCTTACAAACTCAAAGTGACATTGCAAAGAAAAAGAGTAAATCGCACGCTTGTCAAAAATAACATAAAACACAAACCTTTCCGCCATTATGACATTCAAGTGCACGAACTTCTTTGTGGTCGCTAAGCGCATTCAAGCTTAAAAACCGCTGAAAGACTGGAACCAAGGTTCGTCGAGAAATGCACACGTTTTTGGCCAAAAGAAACATCTCAAAAGAAGACAAGAGAATGGAAGGAAATTACATGAGATGGTTCACAATCCGATAAATTCCTGGTATGACTACTATTCTCAGAATAAATAGGGTTACGGCGAAAGCATCATGATCATTCAAACATCAAATCCGTCTAACTCTCATCAATAGCAAAACTTTGTCACTTCTTTGAATAACCTTTTCGTCTCCAAATACCCGATCATTTCTGTCATTTTTAACCTGATAACTTTCGAGTAACGGACGATTTTTTCGTGAACCCGACAAGTTTGCAGACTGCTGCTCTGAAGTTTGCCAATGGGGCACGTTTAGAAATGTGACTTTCTTCTATTACCTTCGACATGCCTCCGGGATCAACACCTTTCGGAATTTTTTAATTTTACTATTATTTTTTGACCATAGAAACCTTTTTATTACAACTTTGGGCTGGCTTTAGCTAATTGCACCTTTCTACAACAAGAGATTAAATTGAATTCATCTTAAAAAAGAGCGCAGTTACAGAAACATTGCAGGGTTTTCAAGCATCAGCTACTTTTACCCCTCCATAACATTTCTAAAAATGTTGTTATATTATTGTTTCCCAATGTTGTTTGAGAGAGAGATTTTGATATCTTATCTAGGGACGTGGCAAAAGATTTTGCAACTGTAGCAACAGGTTAACGTTACGGAGGATACTGTTACGGAACTGTGTGCGTAGATATTTACGAGACCGCTTTTTGAAAATCAACATTTTCAGATTGTTTTTACCAAAAACGGAGTTTTCTAAGTGTTCTTTCGACAACTGTGTTATTACGTTGCGGTACGGAAAGATATTGCACACTCAACATATGTCTTCCCTTTATTCTTAGCATTTTCACAAACTGGCATTTCCGAAGTTTTACCCCAAATGAGATAATTCAGGATTCGAAAATATTATTCAGCCGAAACCGATTAAAACTTTTGAAATGAAAGTAAGACATTACGGTCAAGTAGAGATATAAATATTCTCATAAAAAGTGGAGAAAGGAGAATAGCCCAGTCTTACAAAGATGATTTCTACTTAATTGTCATACGTAAGCGCTGGGTCAGTTTGATGATCCTGCGCGAGTCTTTCTTTTGTTCAGAAATAAAGATTGCGGATTATTGCCGAAAATTGAGAAAACCGTATCTTACGCGACAAACAATGAGTAACAATTAGTGACATTTAGCACCAGGGTTTTCAGCGGAAACCTCTAACGGCAAACCGGTGGAGGTCACGTGAACAAGCCCTGCGGTCACGTTTGGAGTTTTCAACGCGCGTTTTCAACAGCAAGAGGTAGGTTTTCACGTGAGTGATTTACCTGAACATTTTTTATCCTGATTTTGTTTTTATGCCACGTATAAATCAGAAATTTATGTAAACCAGTCATTTTAGAACAAGTTTAGACATATTTTTTAGTGAATGAGTGAAAACAGGACTTCTTGTTGCCCTTTGAAAATCAAACACTGCTGTTGTCTGGAAATTCAATATGGCGGCCTCTTCAATTTCATGTTTTTGTCGAAGTTTTCGGTCGCTAGTGGCCTACTGTGAGCTCATAAATGAGGTTTTCCTCGCCTTTAAGGTTTATTATTCAAGCAGCAGTAGATGGTATCTGAGAAAGCTTAAAATTTTTTATAATTCCAGGGTATCATGGCTCCATTCCGATGGCCAGAAATGAAGCACGAGTTAGCCCTTGCAAAGGAGGTGGCAAAGTATTTACCTGAAAAGCCCCAAGAGTGGGACGAAGTAGCAAAAATACTCAGCAATGCTTTTTCTACTGATGATAAACCAGTAGAAGTCAAAGGGAGAGGATGTCGAGAAAAGATGGATAGAATACTTGAGAAATACAAATCGGAGGACGCCAAAGCTTTGAAAAGGTAACTGTCCCAACACTTTCATTCGCTAAAGGCACATGGTTACATCTTTGATGTTCTACATTTACAGTTAAACCTGTATCAAGCGAACCTGTATTAATGGTCAACCTGTATTAAGCGGTCAATTTTGATAGCCTCGAAAATTTCTCCCTTACTTATTATTCCAAATATTGTGACCTCTGTTAAGCGGTCACCTTTTACAATGCAATTTGGTCCCAACGAGTGTATTTTTATTGTATCAAGCAATCACTTCATAGAGTAAGAAGGTACCATCCGAATGTGCAATCAATTATAGCTAAATTAGTACTCAAAAGCTGTAGTTTAGTTTATTACAAATGAGCAAGAAATATAAATTTCTTACAGTGATCAATAAAAATGTAGGTAGGGCTGAACAATGTCAAATTCTTTATACTGTAGATGTTGAACCTTCATTAAACAATCAACCAGTACAAAGCTACTGGTGACCATTTTACACAGGTTTGACTGTAATTTGANGATAATTTGATAGCTGTATTACCATAAGTATTAATCATCCAACTGTTCCAAAAAGAGAATTCAGGCTTGTGCGGTAGTCAAACCCATGACCTCTGCATGACTGCTGCAGTGCTCTGCACCAGGAATGCAGAGGTCACGGGGTGAACTCCTGCTCAAGCCAGAATTTCTTTTGGGCTATATTTTCACTACAGCTTAATTAGTGTTCATAACTGCGATGATCATTCACACATTCATTGTACAACATACAGCCAAAAGTAGCTCACCTATAAATCCTGATCAAATTGTCACTGTTGAAAGCTGATTTAGTTTCAACTCTTTTTCTTTTAGAGCGTCGCAGTGATACATTTAGTAAGTCTGATGAAGATTCAGGGGGGGGTCCGATAGTGGTGATGAAAGCACTTCTTTGAGAGGTACATTACTGTAGTGTATAAATATTCAATGCTGATTGATCTTTTAAAACCTCTGTTTGATTAATAGCTGTGGCTGATAGTGCATTTACATAAAGAAATAGACAATGGCCAGCTATTTTCAAACAGTAGTATTTTGTGAGTGCCTGAGACATGTATTTCAAAGCCTTTTTATGAAACAAACATTTGTGGTTTGATTTTGTGGGGGTTCAAAAATTTTCAAACCAATTTGATTTTAAACCCCTTCAAAAGTGCAAACAGCATTTTAGTGAAACACCTATAAATAGTGTGATGGTTGTTATTACTTTAACAATTTTCAAGTAAATTGCACAAACTTTTGTAAATTTGTTATTTGAATTTCTCTGAAATACTACTTTCACTCTATTGCATTGGTAATAAAGTGTAAGATAGGATAAGATAAAAGATCAAACTTCGTTGAAAGAAATTTGAAGCAACAACAATCTTTGATCATCATACGTTCAAAGAGAAAAAGGGTCCAGAAGCGTGCAACTAAACGTTCAGCAATGGATATGTTGACAGAGAAATACTCTCAGAAAGCTGAAATTAAAAATGATGAGCTAGAACTTAGAAGAATGGAGTTGGAATTTGCCAAAGAAAAGTATGCCGCAGAGGCAGAAGAAAGAAAGGCAAAGTTAGAAATGGAAATGCAAGAAACGAGGGCAATTCCCAGCCTTTTGAAAGACCCTCTTTAGAAGAAAAAGGGGAAAGAAAATGTTTTGTAGCATTGTGTCCAATTTTCCACTGCATGTTCCGTTGTTTTACTGTTAGCAAACCATTGGGCATTACCTTGACTGGATTTTTCACTTCATGGATGTCAACTTTATTCACATGGGCCAAAATATTGTGAAGGCATGTTACAAAGAATGTTTATCACTAAATTGTGTGCCTGCATATGGCAGCTGTTGTGTTTCACAACATAATTATTTTATGCAAGTAACAATTAAATTTCAACTTTTCATTTGAATTTTGTTTAGGGTGAGGGGGAAGGGGAGTTCCTGGTACCACCTCCTGACTAAACAGACTCAGACAGTTACCAGGCCTCTACACTAACTTTTCAACTTACCAGCCAAGTCGCTAGTGGCATCTTAGATGTTACAACACTTTCAGTTAGTTTACTAGCTAAACTGGCTGGCTGAAATCGAAAACCACTGACCAAAACTGAATTTCTACTAGTCTAGCTAGAAGGCTATCATCAGTGTCGAGCCCTGGTTACAGTTACATATAATGATTTGTTTACTTACTCTACATTTGTTCAGACAGGGTTATAGCTGGGTTCTCACTAGCAATGCAAACATGAGGTGCAAGCAAAATTTGCAGACTCAGTTGTGTATTTTCTGGTCTCCAATTAGGGCAAGACATCTGAGGCTGTATGTGGCTGGTTTGGCTTTGATCTTTGCTTAAAAGATTTTTTGATGGATGATTTTCGAGCAAAAAGCCTTCAACTTGACTTGTTAGCTTGTTTATTTGTTTTTCAGTATATTTCATTAAAGATTTTCCATTTTATAAGCTGCCTCCTCAAAATTACAGTATGGGGAGGCCCACTATGCATTGCCATTTCAAGCTTGGTTACAAAACAAAAAAAGATAGTAATGGTAAAAAAAAAAATTGTTTGCATTAGAGATTAGAAAGGTATGTTTCCAATGAAGGGGGATCAAGGTCAAAAAATGTGCTGGTTTGTGACCCATACAGGCAAGTATGGCAATTAATTAAGATACTTGCCACTAAGTAATACTTCCCAACAGGCTGCAGCAAAACCTTGAGACTTTTTTTAAAGTCTAAGTGGGCAAAATTGTCACAAATTTTACCGAAGCCCCACTCCACACACATTTCCTGTCTTTGCTCATTTCTGTATTGAATGCTTGTTCATCATCAGCAATATGGCCTCCGTGAAAGGGTCCAATAATGTTGCGTGCTAAACCATAGGCAGGGTCCCCATACACAACACGTATGGCTCTCATGTGGGTGTCTGGAATCTGCTAAGCTTGTCTGTCAGTCCACTTACACCAAGCATAAAGGCGTCATGTTGATGTCCCTCTATTGGGCCAAACATGTGTGCAATCAGGCCATTTGGTGCCACAACTGACTGAGAAAATAACCCATGTTAACACCATAATTCACAGCTTTTACTACATACCACAAAATCCCACTTATAAGGCCCTGGTTACGTTCCCATTTTCTCCTGATTCCATTGTGCTTTTATTTCTTTAGGACCAAAAAGTACTTTGAAATTGTATAAGCCCTGGGCTGGCACTGCAAAATCCTAGTTACTATCCCAACTCCCCTCCCCAAACGCATTAACCAAAACGCATTAACCAAACGCATTAACCAAAAGCCTATTGCCACATGTAATAATTAATCGTTCTAAGAACAAAAGGCCTTCAAAATTGTGACAGCCAAGGTTTTAAAACCAAGATTTGATGATACTTGACTCTTTATTAGAAAAATGGCATTCTCAGGAAGTGTGCGCGTGTGCGTGCGTTTGTGTGTTTTTCTGTTTGGGGATGGAGGCTTAATTAAATGACTAAGGTGTCTTAACCAAGACTGGAGGGGGTGGGGAGTAATTAAGGTTTCTTACGAATTTTTAAGATGCATCCGACCGAATTAAAGAACGGTGATAATACTTGCCTGAAATTTCAAGCAATGTATCCTTTTATGTCCACTGAACATGATGCGCTGATTGCGGATGGGGCGTGCAATAGGTCTAGCAGTCCCATCAATAAAACCCCAGCATTGATTGAGCGGTGCTCCTTTATTGTTTATGACTTGAGAGAAAAACTCGGGGTCCAACCACACTAGATCTAACGAATCGAGTAAGTGTTGAAACCGGTCATAGAGGTCATCCATTATCTAGAAATGCAAATATTCATTTAGTCAATTTTTTGCGCTTGTTATTTGTCTTTAATTGCAAAAAAA